AAGGTGTCCCTCCTATTACAACTACATGGAAATGGTAGATAGAATGTAACAGAATGATGGGATGTAGCATTCAGGTTCCCCTCCTCACCAACCTCATTGATGTGGAGGAAAGTCAACACAACACACATACAACATAACGGCAGAAGGGGTGCTCTTATTTTAAAGGTGTCCTCTCTTCACTGCGAACTAGAGCAAAGTAAACTGTTCCAAAAAGGACTCCGTGAACTCAGATACATGAAAAAGAGGTTTCAGTTTAATTTTACTGGTTTAACTTGCTGCCCCTCCAGATCTCTTGAGTTCTCTCTCCTCCCTCCCTCCCTCTCTTCCCTCCCTCCCTTCCTCCTGGTAATGAAACTGACAGAGGATACAAAGCAGGGAGGGATCAAGAAGATGCTTTGGAGGGGCATGAAGGACTAATAGTTGAATGCCTTCCAGTAATTGGGGGTGTGCTGCTGAAGGTGCTAGGAGAGATGGATGGGGCTATTTCAGAAATTTCCCCTGGAAATTAGCATTCTTCCTGCAGATGCTGACACAATTAAAAATTCTGTTTTCATCTTCTTGCAACTTGTATGAGGCCTGAAGGGATTTTTCTTCAGGGCTATTGAACACGCACAGAAAGATGATTTAGGGAAACACTAAACTGCATGTAAAGTCTTCCTATATTTTCTTCCTGATCTACCTCATTACAAGGAGAAGTTGAGCTCTGTGAGGCAGGCGCTGCCCAAAGGGCACGGCCCGCAAGTCTGCTGTCAGAGCCTAGGCTCTCTGAGCAGTGACCATGCCCAGGGAACTGGAGAGGCTGAGGGGCAAGTCGGGCAGGGGGTGGGGAGAGTCATGACGTTGGGAGGGGCCAGCCCTGCTCCTGGCCGGCGCCTTGGAGTATAGCACAGCACCTTGGAGGGAGATGGCTGCACCTCGGGGAACAAAACCCCTCCTAGGGTTCTCAGCCCTGTCAGAATGCTGGTGCTCAGGCTGGGAGTGAAAGCCATACAGTGATGCTTCTAGAAACACTGCACATCATATCCACATGCCCATTTTGTTCCAACCTTGGACAGCAAGATTAACCAGTCAATCCTGAAGGAAATCAGTCCTGAATATTCACTGGAAGGACTGATGCTAAAGCTGCAATTCCAATACTTTGTCCACCTGATGTGAAGAGCTGACTTATTGGAAAAGACCCTGATGTTGGGAAAGATAGAAGGCAGGAGGAGAAGGTGACGACAGAGGACGAGATGGTTGGATGGCATCACCGACTCAATGGACACGAGTTTGAGCAAGCTCCAGGAGAGCGGGTGTAGTTCATGGGGTCGGAGAGAGTTGGACACAACTGAGTGACTGAACAACAATTGTGTGTCAGGCCTCATTCTGATAAGCAGGGCAATGAATCCAATTCATTAGAGTATGAGCCCAATTTCCACTGAGCCATCAGGGAAGCCCATAGAAAGAAAATACTAAACTAAAGAAAGGGATCTACATGTGCGCCTGTGACTGTGTACAGATATACCCAAGCAAGGAAAATGAAAGCAGAGATACACAAAAATTTTTGAAAATTGGACACCTTAAGACAGGAAGGATGATTTACATATGAGGAGGTGGTTGCCACAATAACTACTTCTTTTTTAAAAACCTGTATTGTTAAACTTGCCATAGAAACATAAGACTTTATAAGCTGAAAAACAATATACTTTTAAAGTTCAACAGATATAAGCTTCAAACATATCATTTTAAAAAAAGAGTGACATTCAGTTAACATCTTATTTTTTTTCCATTTATTTTTATTAGTTGGAGGCTTTAGTTGGATGCAAAGATTTCAATCAAATGATGAAAATACACAAAAACCATACAAAAGTCAAATCAAGCAGAATTCTATCTTGGTATTTAGAGACAATGACCTCTTCTGGTCTTTATACCTAAAAATGATCAGAGTATTTGGCTGTTCTCTTTTTTTTTTTTTTTTAAGTCTTTACTGAATTTATTACAATATTGCTTCTGTTTTATGTTTTGGGTTTTTGGCCAAGAGGCATGCAAGATCCTAGCTCCCTGACCAGGCCTTGAACCTGCACCCCCTATATTGGAAGGCGAAGTCTCAACCATGAGACCACTAGAGAAGTCCCCAGAGTATACTGAGGATCAAAGCATCATACTCAATATCTACGGAGTGTCCATGCCTACTGGTGAGGAAGAAGGCTGGACACCACATATGATTCAAAATAACGTGTGGGCAACTTCCCTGGTGATCCAATGATTAAGACTCTGTGCTTCCAATGCAAGGGCCATGAGTTTGATACCTGGTCAGGAATTAATATCTCATATCCTGTATGGCATGGCCAAATTCACTCCCCTCAAACAAAGCAAAACCCAACATAACATGTGGACCACCCCAAGTTTCTTTACTCTGATAGGCACCAGTCCCAGCTTCCTGCCCCAAATGCCCTACTAGAAAACCCACCATGGTGTATTCTAGGACAATTTTGGACTATACATAGAAGAAGTGAACTAGGAGTATGCAGTTTTTCAGGCTTCCCTGGTGTCTCAGCATGATAAAGAATCCACCTGCCAATGCAGGAGATGCTGGTTCAATCCCTGGGTCAGGAAGTTTCCCTGGAGGAGGAAATGACAACCCACTCCAGTATTCTTGCCTGGGAAATCCCATAGACAGAGGAACCTGGTGTGCTACAGTCCATGGGATCGCAAAGAGTCAGACACGACAGAGAGCAACAATAAGCAAACTCTGTCCCAACCGAATGTGTGGCCTCACATAAAATATCAAACTGGATCTCAGCCACCAGGGGCTTCCACAAGACGGAGTGGTTATGATGTAGAGGGTGTGAGGGGAGGGAAAACTAATTCATACTTATGACTTAATATCTGTGATATGCATCCTCATGCATGACTTCTTCACTTTCGCTGCATGAATACATGAATATTCATGTATCTTAGTTACAGTTCAGTTCAGTTCAGTTGCTCAGTCATGTCTGACTTTTTGTGACCCCATGGACTGCAACATGCCAGGCTTCCCTGTCCATCACCAACTCCCAGAGCTTGCTCAAACTCATGTCCATTGAGTCAGTGATGCCATCCAACCATCTCATCCTCTGTTGTCCTCTTCCCCTCCTGCCTTCAATCTTCCCCAGCATCAGGGTCTTTTCCAATGAGTTGGCTCTTCACATCAGGTGGCCAAAATATTGGAGTTTCAGATTTAGCATCAGTCCTTCCA